TAAACTGTAAAAAGATTATTTTCAGATAAAAATTTCACCCCCCAAGAAACGATTATTTTTTTATTAAATTAGGAATGATTAATTTTAAAAAATTAGACTATTCGAATCGACGGATCATTTTGAAAAGAAAATTAATCAGTTTTAATAGCAATGGATTTTACTTTCAATTAGGTAGAGAGGGAAATTTCTTGGAAACTATAAAAAAACTATTAACAATATTTTTATACGTGGAGTAAAAAATCAATAAGTAGTCACCCCTTTCACTGAATTTCCTGAAACAAACCGGTGTGATGAGCCCCTAAGACGAGGTCATGCTGTTTTTACCCCATAAATTCATAATCCCGAAGAAAATATGAAAAAGATTTTGACATCCACCCACTCCTTCCTCCCACCGTAATGCATTTGTTTCCCAGTGCGAGAAGATATGCCTTCAACTCATGCAAGTTTCCTTTGAAAACTTGAACATTGTTGAAAAGTGCGCCACCGGTACGCCCCGAAGGTGTCGTTCATAGCGTTGTTATTTTCCAGGTGAATGAATAGCCCCAAGCAACACCACCATGATGTTTCGTACAAACCCACCACCAACCAAAGAGACACGAGGAGAGAAAATAATTTCGCATCGTCTGCATCACAAAGTCCAAAATGCCATGCGATGGTAACGTACGAATCAAGGGGTTGACGTTAACTTAATGTTTTGTCAACCGCTTTTCACAAAATTTTAATCCAACCAGCCCTACGGTTTTCACCATGGATCCCCGGATAAAACGGAGATGTACACCCTCGGTATTCCATTTTTAGTGTGTGACAAACAGCATTTCATTGTAAAGTTTTGACGATGGAGGTGGATGGTGAGAGTACAGTTGGAATGAGTTATTACGCAAGTTCAGAGTTATGAAACATAACCGCGAAAATGTTCCTTGTTGTGAGTCAGGCATATGCATTAATTACCCCACTGCATTTAACGTTGAATCATAATCTTTTGAGAGCGAGGGGAAAATGCTTTCCCGGGAGCATTAGGGCTTCATAAACAATTCATTATTTGTTATCTATTTTTACCACCTCATTATACCCACAAGTCATCTCGATAGGATTTAACACTCCATACTCGCATGGAAAAAATTTATATCCAGAAATATATCTCATTATATCCGGATATATTTCGCAAACATTTTTACGAAAATATATCTAGATATATCTCATCACTGACATTGAAGATATATTCAAAATATAAATTGGATATATTCAAAATATAAGTTGGATATATTCAAAATATATGTTGGATATATTCAAAATATAATTCTGTAATATTAGTGGTTAAGGTCTAACCAGCTTTAAAAATTCCTGATCAATCGTCACATAGTCTCATCCGACTCGAAGCGATGTAAAATAAGCATAAAAAAAATATTATATCGAATGAACAAATAAATAACAATATTGTTTGTTCTAAATCTCAAATCTATTAATAAAATTCCTGAATGTCCCACGCACAATTTTTCACGATGACAAAATGATGTCCTCGCTTTCAACTGATGATTCCCGTATATTAATGAAATTCAGGCAGAAATTCCAGCGTCCGTACCCGTAATATTTGTATGTATGAAGCGATAATGACATTCACGCGACAAATGCCAGCGAATACTGTCCAATGATTCGAATTTAGAATGATGAAACTGCGGCCACTCAAACAGCAGTGGCGTGTCAATTCTCAGTTGAATCAAGGCACTCTGTTGAAATACACCGTGTTTCCCGCTCATCTAATTATCACAGTTATGACTATTCGCACGTACTGCACCTCCGTGCGCCTCATAACTTCCGTAATTACACGGTATATTGAGGAGAAAGGGGGCGAAGTAAAACTTGGTTGAACAATGGGAGTCGAGTCAATGATAAAATACAGAGTTGTATGCATGATACATTTGGGTGTTTTGTTCTCAAACTTTCCCGCCAAGATTTCCACTAACTCAATTTGTCTTGTCAGCAAATAACACTCATAACCATAAGGCTTGAAAATAATTACCCATCATCACTCCCACCGGGAGAGTCCAATAAAACAAACCACAACGACATCAACAACGATAAGTAACTTTAACGAATGCTTGAAAATGCGAGGTGGCGGTCGGGCCCAGGCACCACCATCTTAACGAGTCCCTCGCGCCATATGGCGTCGATCCCACCCACCTCGCATTTTTGAACATTTTTTAAAATTACATATCCTATCCAAACCACACCCAAGTTATCTCACTGCACTCCCCCAACGTGAGTGATTCAAATGTTATATTTTTTTTTTGCCAGGAAGATGACATCGAGAGCAGTATGAAAGAAAAGAAATGGCGCCAGCATGAAACGCTTAAACCTCAGAAAAGAGCACTAAACCATTTATGTTATTCACTCCCCTCCCTCCCCCCGGCACCCACCCTCTCATATAAAAGTAAAGCACCCGAGAAAACTGAATGACGCCGTATTTTAAAAAATGACTTAAGTTATGTCGGTGGTGCCAGATGGTGTAATGACTTTATGGATGGCATATCATGTGCTACGTGCAGCATTGACCTGTGGGTAAAGCCAGAGTGTATAAAGCTGTACGTTGGAAGCTCAGAAGGGGGGTTTATTCCCCACGAGAATGTTACCTCCACTATACCAGAATGTGTTAAAGTAAGGAAACGAGGAAAGTACGAGAGTGCACATGAACGATATCATCATAGTGAAAAAGACATTGTAGAAAAAGTTCTCCATCATTTTCCCATCTTCCATCACTCATGGAAAACAGTCAAGCAGATTATTACATTTCAGAGAGATAATTATCTATAAAAATTAATCTCATAATATCTTTTCCCAGCGCTTCTCTTTTCATTCCACCTCAAGAATATAAACACCTTAAAAATACACAAGACGCGCCTTAAAAATTGTTCCATCCGTAATGAAAAAACATTTCTGCAGACAAAAATAAATCGACTCTACGTGGGATTCTCCGATGATTAAAAAAGCGTAAATAATGCAAATCAATCCTTAATAATAACGTTGAACAATGAAAAAAATAATATTTTTCGAAAGCATCGATTTAAGATTGAATGTGATAGCAATTAATGAATCTTCAGCGAGGCGCTTATAATTTTTGACAGTCATTCTGCGATTCGAGAAAGATAATCGACAGTTTCAATTGCCAATTCAAATGAACACGTCCGTATTACCCCACAATCTCCTAAACCTGACATAATAAGCCTTTTAGATTGGATAATAGTACCAGTCCACTCGTCATAATGAAGATAACACTATTGATTTCAGAATGATATTCATCTCGGTTCGTTAACCCACAGGGAGAATACCTCCGGCTTGTGAATCTAACGGAAAACGAGGGCATCGAACGGTTAAACGTGACGTACATACCGCATTCATTCATTCACCATTCCCCAAGTTTGAATTTGCGTTATTTACCTAGAAATGTGGAAAATCCCTCAACCCTAAAATGTCACCATCTCCCGGAGTTCCATCCCATCAAAACAATATGAAATACCATTTGCCAGTGAAATAACTATCATTACATTTAACGATAAACCAGCACCATCAAACCACAATCAGACTGTCATGACTTTTTGAAATGTCATCATAGTCAATAATAAACTCCATCACCACCGGTAGAACATCTAGCTCGTGATTTTGGCAGTCTACCAAAGTGACGCGTGACTGTTTAAATGACAACTCTTAACCGCGCAACCCACTCAAATTATTCGTAAACCAATTTGCGGATAAAATCTCATTCCCAGTGAATTCGATTGGTCAATGGATTGGTTGAGGTAGGGGGGGTGCCAACCCGGGTCATAACGATGTTATCGAACAACTGGAGATTGTGGTAACATGGGAATTCTCATTACAATCCCAGGCATCTGGTACATCATGGCTGGAGTCAACAGGGCCAAATGCTGGGGCTGATGATCAGTTGACCCAACTGGATGTCCATTGTTTACCCAAGTTGTCCAGAGAGAGGTGGAGAGACTATGTGTAAACCCTCACAATAACCAGTAATGTCTCGAGTATTGATTATGCTAAGTGCACCCACTACTCTGGAATTACGCGATCGACGTTAACAAACAATTTATTTTTTATTTCTCACACTCCAAGGAGTGTTTGTTATGGAGACATCCTGCTGTGATGTGGCCACCCGAAAATTGTTCCATTAATTGTCGGCATTTATTTTAGATTTAAACAAAAAGAAATGGATACATTTGTCGACTGATAGACTGTCAAATGGAATTCTCTGTAAATAATGCAAAGTGCCTGATTATTTTTTAGATTGATAAATTATTTTTATCGAATCACTCAATTGAGCATTGAATTTGATAATCAAATGGTTTTCAATGAGACGCTTATCATTTTAGATGGTCATTTTTCGATTCGAGAGAGACATTCGACAGTCTTAATTGGTACGACAGTTATTTAAATAAAAACATGTCTCTATTACCCCCACTCCCCTATGGAGTTATCGAAAACATTCGCCTGACAGCTAATTGAACGAGTTTCATTTGATTTACTTTGACTTTATCTTTGAATCTGTACTAAAGTGTGTTATTGAAAAAGAAGAAAATGTAAAATTATGGTATAAATAAATAAATGAAATTTCTCATTCGAATCTGTTAATTCATTCCTATCTCCCGATCCCCAGCGCTATTGGAAGAATTCCAAATTAAATAATGAATTTCTTCGATATTTCAAAAATTCAGTTTTACTTCCCACGAGTAACAATTACTCATTTGAATTGCATAAATATTATTTCAATACATTTTAATCAATCCTTAGGGGATAACTAAAATTGAACAAAAACCCATGTTTAAATATAAAATATATAAAATATTCAGACAAGGAACCCCCAATGAATATAAAGCGAAAAAAAACGCGGTAATTTGAACGCAATTTTGTACGGCGGGAAATTTGATTTGAATTTTCCCGGGTGTCATCTGAGATTTCGAATGAGTGGGTTGAGAGGGTCTCGTCTAGATAGCGGGACATGTTCAAGTTCGATAAGTCTGCGATTCAGTCAAATAACTAAAAAGCCGACAGACGAATTAATTAATCGACCCCTCGTCTCAATCAAGCAAATAAAAAACAGATCTTCGTTTAAAAATTGTTCCCGTTCTTCTACACGAAACAAATATCGAAACAAATATCGGAGACAGTGAGTGCATCAAATGTGTCATCATGCCTTGAGTCAGGAGAAAGAGTGATCTTCCCACGAGTTTCAAATTAATACTTCAGGTAATTCAGGGCTAATCGAACTGTCAGGGGCTCATAATATGAGGATTTGCCCTGGGAGGAATTTTTTGCGGTCGTGGTTGGCCTTGACCACGTCAAAATGTCAAATGGCCATCGACACCAACAATGCGAGGGTCAAATTTTGCTCGTCTAAGTCAATTGAACTCAAGAATATCGTCAAGAGGGTGAAACCTTTCGGCAGAGTTGTCATAGATCTTCCCTACGACGTGGAAATAAAACCCACGTGCCCCCACGAATATCCGGACATGGACACGGTTCTTGTTAAATTAGTCTCCCAGGATTCTCTACTTGATAAAAAAGAGGATTTGGTATCTGTCACTGTCAAAGATGATGCCTGCGAAATTCGGAGTAATCAAGAGGTCTTGGGGAATGTCAAGTGCCTCGTCCAGACACCAGTTCGTTATGGTACGAAAATAGATAGAGTATTGACAGAAAAATTCTCAATGATTTTTTTTTCTCTCCCTCCTTTTTGAAAATCCCTCACTTCCCAGGGTTTGTTTTTTTTATTCGGTGATCTACAGAGAATAAATTTTCAGCAAATTATATTTTTTATTTCCCCTCTTCCATATTCATTTTTTTTTATTAGAAATCGTGCAATTTAACTTGGAAACTATTGATTTTAGGAGAAAATGTGAGAAGACATTTTTTGCTGGAAATTGAATCACCGATAGAAAAGTTCTTCACAATTTTCTCTGTCAATCGAGCGGTTTCGAGATAAATGGCGAATTACGAAAAATATAGCAGGGGAAATTGAAGATTTTAATAGATATTTCAAGGGTTATTTAATTCCAATGATTTTAGATGTAGAAGTGAAGACTGTTGGAGACGCTAATGTAGAAGTACATAATATGATATCAGATTTTATAACCGTGGAGACGGAATATGGAAACATTCTTAGTTCAAAGCTGCAGGGAAAGAAAATAACATTGTCATCGAGTGAGGGTGGATCCGTGACTGTTCAGAAGAGTATACAGGGAGAAATCGAGATAAATACAGCTAAAGAAGGGGTAATTTTGGTCTCCCGAGACCATCAAATTCGACTGTTCAATTCATTGGATATTTCAGTTCGTGGATGCTGAAAAATGTTTGGGAACGAAACTAGACGTATCTACTGAGAATGGATTTGTCAAACTCGGTAGTAATTACTGTGAGAAAGCAACATTTACAACACTAGACGGAGATTTGAATCTGAACAATCTTCACATGGACAACAGCATCGATATTAATGGAAAAGGAAGTTTAAACATCTGTAAGAATTATTTGAAATCCCAATCCCTAATTTATTCTATTGAGAAATTGTATAAATTCATTTTTCCCTTCTTAACTTCACCCGTTCAATTTATTATATTCATTTATTTTAATTATCTCGATTTATTGCTTCATTTAAATTATTCCAATGAAATAAATGAATGAATTGTCGAGTAATCTAAATAATTTAAATAATTTTTGAACAATTGTAAAAATTCTTCAGCTTGTTTCGACGGATCCCTTCAGGCGACCCTGGGCGAGGGCCAAGCTAGGATCCAACTCGCGAGAATCACAAAGGATTCATCAATCACCTCGAATGGAGATATAAGCCTCACGATACCAGATACCCTAGACTCGAGGCTAATTCTAAAATCTCCAACCCTGGAAATTGATGATTCCATACAAGGGACTCACAACCGAGAGAAAAATGAGTTCGTGGGAATAAAGGAGGGCCCCAGGTTCATAGTGGAGTCGACAAGGATGATCCAGGTTGAACAATCGAGCTGGATGGAGACATTCAAACTCAAGAACACACCAAAGTGACACGAAAGGATAGAATAAATCGAATAAATGTACAATTTTATTAAAAGTTATTCACTCTAATTCACTGCGATCGTTTCAAATGACCTATCACTCTCTTCAATGTCTGACGAGACTGCGACTTCCCCAAGGGCTTGAAGGGAAGGCCCTGCGTACGTTATAGGAGCACTCCCCAGGCATTCCTCGTTACGATACAAAACAACGAACTGAAAGAATTTTCATTAATTCAGTAGTGGAATTGAAAAAATAAAATCAGTTGAATGTCAAACATCGACAAAGATCGAGAACCATTGGGTTCACGAGAAAACACCAAGAGACGTTCCCTCGGGAAAATTTAATCAGCTACAAAAATAGTCCTTTGATATTTCCACGTCGAGCCGATGGTTTTCGAGATAAATCGATAATTAAGGAAAGTGGCAACTGCTACTTGTCTCATTTTACTAATTCGCCCCTGAATTCTATAAATTCCAAAATTTTAATCAGTGACATCACATTGTGGTGTCCTCACCTGCCCGGGAGACACAGCCCTTTTCGCCCTCTCAGAAATAACAACCAATCGACCACTGGTAGTTTTATAAACTCGACAGGGACAGAGTAACTCATTCCTCTGAATCCTATATTCACAATTGAGAACTGTCCAACTGTCGATCAACTCCTCTGGCTCTTCATGAATCCAGTGGGGATTCGATGTGACCATCAATCGAGAGAATAATGCTGGATGATCTGTACCTGCCACCTAAAATCCTCAAATTATTACTGAATATTCTCTCACTCTCCCGAACCTCAATTTCTAACAATCGCAATTCTTCCAACGAATTAAATTGCCCAGTCTGATTTAATTTCACTCACAACCAGGATGTCCTCCGTCTTGGCGCTCTTCTGGAAGATATAGAATTTTTTACGAGTGCCAGCAATTCGACAGCCCTGACCCAGAGTCCAGTAGTGAATCCCATGGTGTTGGCCAACGATATTCCCCGTGTCGTAGTCTACGAAATTCCCAGGTTTATTCTCCAGATACTTCAAATGAAAATGAATTCCTAAATCGAGGGCTCTATCTCATCGAGGGGGTTAATTTTTTTTTTGATTCAATACTTGTGGTATAAAATTTTGGAAGGTTCGAGTTCCAATGAAACAGATCCCCATGCTCTCAGGCTTCTGGGCAATTATTTCCAGATCAGCTTCCATAGCTATTTTTTTCACATCTGTCTTCAGCATTCCACCTAGAGGGAACATGCACCTCTGCAACGACTCCTGACTAACTTGTGACAGGAAAAACGTCTGATCTTTCTTTTCGTCTACTGCATGCAGCAGTTTCATTTCTAAAATTATTTTTTTCAGCATTAAATTGAGGAGTTCGTTGATTTAAGATAATTTTGCTGGTGTGTCTTGTAAGTTGGAGGAAATACTTGCTGGTGTCTGGTTTAAATTTCTCCAGATAAGGACCGAAGGAGGACCTTGCGTAGTGACCGGTGGCTATGGCATCAGCCTTCAAGTTCTCTCTCGCAAAATCATAGAATTTCTTAAATTTTATGTTCTTATTGCACATTATGTCGGGATTTGGAGTGGCTGCGTTCTGGTAGCTCTCCAGGAGGTACCTGAGAGTTATTTTCACTTCAATTCTCAATTCTATTCCCATAAAAACCAGGAAAAAGAGATTTAAGTTTTGGATTTTTGGAGGAGTCTATCACTTCCCGTAAAATCATAGATCAGACTCCTGGGAGATCATGAAATTTTTTTTTGCATTTTTCCTTTTTGGTACTTGCAATTAATATTATATATGAAATGAATATCAAAAATCGACGATTAATTAATGGAAAATTTCAATTTTGGAAAAAATTATTTTTTCTCCCCCAAAAGTTCTAAATCCCTGTCTCCAGCTTTCAACTGATAAATCTCCTGGAACCTCCAGGAGCTATCAAAATCTCTGCAGAATCTATTCTCAAGGACCCAGTGAGACCTTGAAAAAACCTGCCACCAAAATTCTGAATTCTCCCCGAATTACTCACGTGAACACTTCGTGCCAATACTCCTTAACAAAATTCACCTCAACAAGAGGAACATCGATCTTTCTACAAACATACTGAGCATCTCTATAATCCTCGTCAGCAAGACACTTTCCAGTCTCATCAGCAGTGTCCCAATTCCTCAAAAAAACCGCCGTAACATTGAACCCTAAACCCCAAATAAATCCCCCAAATCCATGAGACCTCCGAAAACTCCTCTTCTTAAACAATCAGTCAGTAATAACCAATAATTACCTTTCCTCTTCAACAACAGAGCAACAACAGCACTGTCAACCCCCCCAGACAGACCAACCGCAATATTCCTGAACATCACTTTTTCTAAAATAATCCCCAATTTTTCCGAATTTTAACTCTCGAAGAAAAACGAAAACTTTCATAAATCCTAGAGAATAAATAGCTGGGAATAACAAAAAGCTTTCGCGTGAAATCAAATGGAAATCACAGATTTCATTGTTTCCAGGTGTCGGTTAGGTTGGCTTCATCAGGTTATGTTTTCCCTCGTAAAATTAACACCGGCACCTCGTGCATTCGCGTCCTGTCCATGTGAGTGGAAATCATGGCCCTTGCAGCATCATCCTTCGGACTTTATCTTGGAAACACATCGTCCTGTCTCGCTATTTACAAAGTGAGTAAAAATTCCTAACCGAGAAACGTGAATTGTCAACGGAATCCTGGAATTTAATTTGCCAGGGTGCATGCGGCTGGAGTTGTTGACACTCACGTGTCAACTTCACTCACTATTTTCTTAGAGCTTGTCCTATCCTTTTTTGATGAAATTATCCATTTTTTTTCACTTTTTTCAGGATGAAAATGTCGATGTCGTGGCTAATCATGCGGGGGACAGAGTCACAGCTGCTGTCATCGCTTTTCACGAAGCAGAGCAGGTGAGTTGAAAATGTTTTGGAGGAAAAGGTTAGGAAGATGTTTGATACGCGTTGAAAAATCAATTCTTGGAAATAATTTCAAAATTATTAGAGAGATTGCCAGAATCTCTCTTGAAGTTCAATTCTCAAAAAAAAAACTTCTCTAGATATCCGGAGAATTCAGATAGAAAAGACGTCGCAATTATTTTTAGATTAATTGAAAAAGCAATTGATCATAGAAAGGAAATTCTATAAAGAATATGATAATTACATTTTTTTCGAGACCAGTTTTTAGCCAATATCCTGCAATTAAAGGGACACTGCAGACTTTTGGTATAAACATTTTTTATAGAACATGATGAACTCTACAAAAAAGATATTTATGAAAGTATCATTATCTTTCTTCAATTCCGAGATATTAGCTAAAAACGGACCTCGAAAAGAATGCATTTATCCTCTTATCAGTTCACAACTTCGGAAATGAATTTATTTCTATCACGACAAACTGCACGAAATTATTTAGTTTTTCCAAAGTAAAATAATAAAAAATGTAGAAAGTAATAGAAATTATTTATAAAATTCGTTCGATTTTTGTACGAAATAGAAGAAAGTAACGGATAAATTGAGCCAACGATTAACAAAACAATTTCTAAAAATTGTTATTCTAGATAATAGGGGCAGCAGCAAAGTCAGGTTTATTTCGAAACAGTGCGATAACCGTCCTAAACAATAAACGCCTGATGAACAAGCAAATAGACGAGAGTGAGTTAGAAACAGCGATAAAAAATAGCTCAGTACCAATAATAACGGAAACCGAGCTACAGTATTCCATAACGGTTGGCGATAAGATTGAAAAAATCACACCGAAAAAGATATCCTCGTTGCTATCAGGTGCCATGTACGATATATCAACGACAGCCGCTCACGATGACGAGGAGCACAATGTCGTACTGTGTGTACCCCACAGATTTAATACCGAGAGTATTCAAGATTGGAGTGAGTCAGCAGCTAGTGCTGGATTCAAGGTCCTCCAGGTAATCGCTGAACCTGTCGCCTCTTGTCTCGCTCATGGGTTGGGAAAGAACAAGAAAGAATCAGAGTTAGTAGAATTTTCCATAGAAAATATTCCTCCGAGATATGCAAGAGTCTTTTACTTTACTAATTTACCTTTAATCCTTCGATTCTCTATTTTTCCACAAAAAATTAATTGACAAAAATTCCTCTAAATTTCTGTCCTAATTTTTTTGACAAATTTCATAATTTCAAAATATACTTCAATAATCTCAAAATTCGTGTACATGATAATCTAGATAAATTATGGAAGAAGTTTCCAATTTTAAACAATTCCTCAGAGGACAAATATGGAGAAAATAAATTCAAGAAGATTCCAGATGTTCTCGAAGAGTTTCACAAAAATTCGTAAAAGACCCTTGAATACCCTGAAGGTAAATATAAGTCCCTCTCAAGGTATTCCTGAAAAATGGTCCACACTGATTCCCCCAAGGAGTTTTATTCCAATGTCAATTAACTGTCCTGAAAATCTTGTAGGCTAGTCCTAGTCTACCGAGTAGGTGGTGTATCGAGTGATGTCACCCTGGTTAAAGTATCAGGTGGTAGTTTCACGATACAGTCGACAAAATACTACCCAGAGCTAGGAGGTCACAAACTGACAGACCTGTTAACCTCATACCTAGCCGAGGAGTTCTACAACAAATACAAGATCGATCCAACAGAGAGTCGTAGATCAGTATCAAAACTGAAGATCGAGGCTGAAAGATGCAAACACGTTCTCTCGACAATGTCGACAGCTCACTTATTCGTGGAGTCCCTCTGCGAGGGTGTCGACTTCAGCCACAACATAACAAGAGCTAGATTTGAAAATCTCATAAGTCCCCACATCTCCGACTACATCCAACCCCTCCAAGACATCCTCAACAGCACCAGTCACACGATAATGGACATCAGAAAGATCATTCTGTGCGGTGGTACCATGAAGATACCAAAACTCCAGGAAAAAATTGCATCCCTCTTTCCCTGTGGCGAAGTTCTCACCTCCAGGTGGAGGCCTGACGAGACAATGGCAATAGGAGCTGCCATGCACTCGTCCCTTCTTCTCTCTCAAGGAATTCACGACAGAGATCTCAATTCAACTCACGTAGAACTTTGCGCCTTGAGCAGACCAATTTGCCTCAAATTCGAGGACATCACGACCCTCGTCATTCCTGACGATACAATCATACCTATCAAAATACAAACGATTGTCGAACTGCCTGAACTCATCGACAACAAAATACAAGTGAAGATTTTTGAGGGTGTGGAAAATGGAAACGAAATCACTAATCAGTTAGGACTGGTGGGTCTAATCAATCAATATTGCAATAGTCAACGGTGAAACTCATCTGATTTTTAAAAATATTTCCGAATCCACAGGAGATACTGCTAATTTGGTAAGAACCTTTTTTACAAAGAAGATTGAAAGCTGTAAAAAAAGTTATTACAAAAATTTTGGTATTTTCGATGGTTCCCGAGATATTTGTGGAAAACTGAAGAGCTAGCTGAACCAAATTTTGCGGTTGATTTAAATCGTCCGGTTGATTGGTTGATTTGGATTAATGGAATTGTAATTATTGTATTTCAGATTTCTCTCAACTTGAAGAAACCCGGCAAGCTCAAGGTGGACACTGATCTGACTGAGGCCTTCTTGAACGTCCACATAACGGAATTATCAACGGGAAAAAAATCATCGATTCGGTTTGAAATTCACAAGGACGATTCATTGTAAATCAAGCCGAATGTACATAATCAATAAAACTAACTATTTGCTTCTTCGTGAATTACAATCATTTTTCAATTCCAGATTTCCCAATCTCCCAATCTTGTGTCATAAGATAAATTTAGATCGACCAATAACGAATTGGAAATTCATTTTTCCGGTAATCTCTAGATCTAGAGCACAATCCAAAAAATAAGTTTTTGAACAAAAATATGGACGTTTTAATTTGAATTGTTGTAAGAAAGAATTAATAAAAATGACTTTCGAAATACATAAGCGCCGTGTCAAAATTATTTAATTATCATTAAGTTCAAGGCCAAATTGATGCTTTCGCAAAAAAAAAATGCCTTTTGAAAAAACAATTAATAATAGAGCGATTTTTGAAAGTTTCAGTCGTCAGTTTTACCCCAGCATCCCCAATTCCAAAAGACATCTCAAATGCTTGAGTATAAAAAATATTTCCTGACTGAATTATTGACGACGATAATCCAATCGAAGGGCATTAATAAATACAAAAGACATTTTCTCCAAAATGCAAAAAAATCCAATCAATCCCGTGCAGAGAAGCCTTTTTCCAATTACCAATATCAATTACATCAAAGATTTCTAGGATTTCCATTGGTGCCGTAGACCCCAAGGTCACAATAAAACCCGACGAAATAGCTAAAGAAAATAATGCGCAATGCAATCGCCAAAAATCTAGCATCCCAAGCCGAAAACTCGCCCAAGTGGTCTCATGACCCCAGAAAAAAATGTTTCGACTCCTCCATATTGAAATGACGTCATACCCTGAACACTAGAGGTCACAACAAAATGGCCGCCCTGAATATCCAAGAGACATAAATGTACAGCCCTTGATTAAACCCGACGCAACCTCTCCCTCTCCCAAATCTGAAAGGCTATCGCCAAGTCCTCGGCTAATAATCGTGAATTATCGTTAACAGTGTTGCCAGATCGTCGAATATCACCTCAATCACCCGATAACCCGCCAATAATTAATTGATCCTACTGATCAATTTTTATGGATAAAAGTCGAGGAGAACAATGACCCCATCCACGAATAGAAGTTCGATCAATATCTCCGACAATTTAATAACCCATCGATCAATCTGGCAACCCCGTTGATAACTCCGTCCCCATTCCACCAATTACGCCCTTTAAATTAAATCTAAAAAACCCGGAAATTCAGTGCTCAAACCGGATCAATAGACAATTCCAATACGGAAATGCATGGATTTAATCCCCATCAATAGACATTAATAACCGGCAATACCATGATTGACGATAATTCACCAGAAAAAGGTTCGATAATTTTTTTTCCGGAAGAATAAAAAGGTGGACAAAAGGGCATCGCCCACTTCACAATCGGAATTACGTGGCGCTGTTGTCGTTCGTTATAAAAATAGGAAGTGGAAGGGGCCTTAAGCCGCCGTAGTCAGCATCAAGTCCATAACAGGAGATAATCGTTGAAAAACTAAAGAATTGATGAATTACATAGAAATTCATTGAGATTCACGAGGTAAATTCGTGGATAATGATTATCTTTTGGTGAAAAAGGGTCATTTGAATACTGATTGAATCAGCGTGAGGTCTGAAGTGGATGGATGGAATGAATCGTTCGTTGGGAACCGCCTGATGGTAGTTTTCACAACCCAGCCATCTTGGGTTTGTTGGTTCGTATAGTCGTGCAACGACACTGCCCAGAGAAGGTGGGGGCTGTCAGTCACGATACGTCAAGCTATAGTAAACCGCGGGTTTTCACCATTTTTTTTTTTTTTCCCACCTTCACCTCCCTTTGTTCAAAACCATTTTGTAACCTCCGAGTGTCTCAATCGTGAAATCAAAATATTAATTTAAAAAAACAACGAATTAGTGATTGTAACCTTGAGGGGCGTAGGGGTATAACTGAGTGAATTTTTTTTTTTATTACACTCTAGACCTGGCAGTGGGTTCAATAGTTGTTGGGCACGGGGTTGTTGGATTGTTGGGTTGTTTGACCACTCACGACTGCGTATTCCCAAGGAATAGTGAACGTGTGAAAAAAAGGAAAATAAATGAAAAATTGTTTATTGGCGGTTCAGTGGTAACACAGCGCCTAGTCAACATCACCTTTTGGTGCATATGTGTGAAACTATTTTTTTGCCCCCTCTATTCCCCCCCCCTTTACTATTTCTAACATCCCCACCCCCCTCTCCGCCCAATTTTTTACCCGCCTCCCCCCTGAAGTTTTGATTTTTCCCTCGTTTCGCATCTGGGTGGTGAAATTATGATCTAGCCAATACTATTTCAACGCAAAATGGAAAATAGTTCGTGTTTCTGTGTGTGCGTTAGGCGTCAGTGATAATGGTACGCGTGCAAGACGACCGTCAATTCCAGAAAGCACAAAAAGAAAGTGCTCTGAGCTACTTATTTGACAACGAAATTTTCGAGATAAACTATTTAACGAGTGTAGGTAAGAATAATATTGAATAATGATATCGAAAACAGAATTTTTTTCATTTTCTCTGGTGCCTAGGGTACATCTTCAATATCTGTATGTTGAAATAAAATTGATGATCAAAACAAATGACTTGGTAATGAGGGTCTTTCAAATTTTTCATTCACTTTTATTCAGCTTTCGATTGTTTTTCAATTTCTGGGAATTATATTTTTTCTCTGGCAGTTGCAATTTTGATTTTTATGGATAATTACTAATTAGGGACTTGATAAGCTCTGGGTTTCCGTGAATATTGAATGAAAGCTGATTAGGGAATAGCTCGAAATTTAGCTGGTGATAGCGACTGGTAGATAATTTGAGTTGTTTTTTTTTTAAATAATAAATGGTAGATATTAGAGGCGAAATTGTGGTAGAGAGAGAATTTCAGCGATCACTGATTTATTCGCGATCAATCGTTGAACTTATCGACTCCCATTGAATTGGCAATGATGACCGTGAGAGAAAATATTATCCTGCCCTGTAATTTTCGTATGGATACCCTCGGCAGGAGACAAAACAAATTTAATTAAGAATGCATGAACCAGGAGTCTATACCCATGGTATAAAGAAGAACCGATAAACCAAAAACCACAGGAAAAAAGAAATGATGGCAGAGTAATTGAAGGGAGATGGGCCCTTTTCAATCATCAGAAGTTATAAAAAGTACATCAAAAAATGATTCTGAATTGATGACCTTGATGATTGAAAATGGTCCTTGAAGATCTGATGGAAACAAGAAAGTGTCGGAGGTCAGCATTTAATCCTTGAAATCACATGGAATTGATTTATCAGGAAGCGACAACGAGCTATGTTGATGGTGAAAAAATGAGGTTCTCGGCTGTTCAAGAAGAGGATGAGTACGAGGTAGGACTGGGGCAAGAGAATCTTGCCCGTGATGGTGCAGATGAAGGTATGAGGGCCGCCGCTCGTGAAGCATTGGTATTCGGTAAATCCGTCGACGATTCCTCGACGGCCTACTGCCTTCCACTGTTATTTGCCAACGGTTATCCCACCTCATTGGATCAAATATCCGTGGTAAAATCATCATTGACATTAATAACTATTTCAACCCTGACCATTGGACAGCGCTTATGGATCATATTTTTGGTATTCACAGACTGAATTGGAACGTTTCATAACATTCATGGTAGAATGTTCATCAGGTCCACTTCAAACTGGTGCACCACGTTGGTGGCCCAAGGATATCAAATTTTCAAAACCCTTTGTACGACCTAAGCGAATCAATGACGTAAGTACACTAATTCATCAATTATTCATTCACTGCATCATCATCTGGAGTTTATACAGCTCCAAAGATAATACCCAACAGCATATTTCCATCCGCTATCTCCATTTGTGCGTCATCAAATGCACGACATCGAGTTGAGATTTGCCGCGAATATTTTCAACACCTAAACTACTCACTCGGATAAATCGATAGAAAATTCCGAATCACTCGAATCGAAAAGAGATCTAATGATTCCGCAACACGAGATATTTTCTCCAGTCAAAATTTTCATGTCAGTGCTCCAGGACAATTAATTAACTATTAAATTCCCCAAGGAAATTTTTTATTTGGGAATTGTTCTCGCTGTTTGATTTTGCCCCGTGAAAAAAATTCCTCCCTATTTCGTTCTCGCATAGATTCCCTACAGCACGCAAAACCTCGTACATCGGAACTCGATACGACGTGAACAAAATGGCCGCCAGCTTACGTGGCCGAGACACGATCAAGATTATGGATCGGGTCATCGGGTTACTGCCACGCGATATATCTCAGCTGTTCTATCATGCAGAGCATCGAATCAATATTCACGTGAAAAATATCGATATTTTGTTATTTTCTTCAATCGATGAATTTCGGCCATTTTATTCCGTCAAAATCTTCATTGATGTTGATCATAAAAATTTAGAGAAGATCACAATAATAGACTCAACGGCATGTTTCGAATGCTCAAAGCATTTAATTAAAAAGAACTAGAATTGCCCAATTTTTAAGAATCCCTCATGTCGAGTATTATAACGTTTCATAATCATTGGTCAATATTAAAAATTGCACATCAATTTATGTATATCAATCAATGTCATCAATTAAAAACTAGAAATCAATTCTCGTGCTCTTGGGAAAATTGGCAACGTCGCGTGACTGCTTGAGTCATTCGTGGACCCCTCGGCTCTTTTCGAGAGGTTCTACCGACGCGATCAAGGAAAACGGCATTTTGTTAGAATCAATAAAGTGCGGCTGATCAATTTGCAATCGACAGTAATGATTTTTTGTAAAATCTTCAACAAGATGTATGCATTTTTCAGAAAAGGGGTACCCCCTCCAGGTGATGTCGACTAGGCGTTGATAATCATAATCGTATTGCTCTAGAGGATGGTTATGTCGGTTATTACCTTGAATAAACTCGATCAATAATTATCAATATTGAAAAGTCCGCGGGATAAAAAAAGTAGAAGTTTATTGAATTAAATATAAGGTGAAATAATATCGACAGAACCGACTAATCGAAGACGAAACTCAAACTAAAGAGTTCCGTCGATTTTTTTTCTAGTAAAATTCGTTATTTAAAGATAATTAATAATCATCAGTGGAATTTATTCAAGGACATATCCCACATAATGATCCTTTAAAGCAATATGCTGATTATTATCAGAAGCGAGTCGAAATCGTCTGGAAATTTCTAAATTGGAAAAATTACTGACATATTGATCAAACACAGATTGATCGCAACAAATATATAGAAAAAGCAACCAGCCAATACTAAAATCCCTAAAAGCGTCGACAGTCTGGTGACCCTCAGAACAAAAAATTTCTATTGCGTCTCAAGTAAAAAGAAGTCTGAAAGACGTGACGCTCGGAAAATTTGGCATCGTTGCATGAGCTTCGGTTATGCGTCACCGTGAGTCCCCTCGGCTTTACCCGAGGGGCCGACCGACTCGACACGACGGTCCCACTTTTCTACGAATTAGGGACTGTTACTTAATACGTCGAGTAGACCACAAAGTCCACGAATGGAGTTCTCAATGCGTTCAAAGTACTTGATCAACTGCGCAAACAATTTACATGCTCCCGTATTGTTTTCTTTCAATGTTAAATCCAGAAAAATATTCCCATGTGTATGATTTAGACAATTTAAAAACGATTGTTCTCTTCAAAAGCTATTTGCCCATATCCAACACCGTCTACGATATCTGCACAACTGGTTTAGAAGAAATGGCGAATCTGAATCTGAAGAAGAAATTATAAATCTGGAGCAGATCGAGTAAAAGAAATTATTTCCGATATCTTCTCTTTTTTAAAGTTATTACAAATTTTTGAAAAACAAAAAACTTGATAAATTTAATAAACTTGAGGTGAAAAAAAAAAATCCATTTCCAAATTTCATTACCCTAAAAACGGTATTTATTTCCTCTTTAATCTGATCCCCGGTTTTCGATAAATTTCAAAAAAAAACCCTGAAAAATGAGAAGATATCGGCAATGATACCTCAGCACCAGGCAACCGCCAAAGCAACCGCACATTTTCCGATAACCATGTTGCGCAACAGCCATTGATAGACTGATAATCCCTACTGACGTGGACAATTATATGAAACAGAGAAAAATCCTGAAATCCTCAAACAATCCATCATCTCTCTCCTAATTATCTCAACCACCCACCAACCGTCAAAAATCTCTTTGTATTTATAGAACTGGATGGGGACCTTAAAGAAACTAGTATTCAAATGTTACACATACCACAAGAGCGAGTACTTACTCCGCTTTTGTTCGTATCTCGCCCAATATCCACGGGAAAAGCTTTACTATCTCAATAACTACGACTCAACTACAAGTCTGTACCACAAGGGAACCGGAAGATTACTGGCAACATTCCGCAACGTCAACATGGTACATCAACCGTTAAAATAATCCACCCGACAATCCCACCGATCCCTAATTGATAAAATAAACAATTTCTAGGATTATGATAAAATAGTTGATAGTCCGCGTCGATCACTCCTACCCCAGAATCATGGTGCATCAAAAGTATTGGGTAAACCTAACAAATCAGGGGAGCAGAAACAACGGACAAAGGATCAATCCTCACTGGTTGTCATACAGCCTGTTAAAGAGGAGATTTATCTATGTGACAACTGTGACGCTGAGTTTGGAGATTTGGATCAGATGAAGGTACTTGTAGCTTCCATTTTGGATGGAGGGCAATGAGGCATTGAATTCATTAACACCTACTGACTCCTAGAGTTGTAGTTCCTCATTATCGGATTCCTAAAATCGCCCAGTCATGCCTCAAGATGTGCAAAATATTGATGGCACGTCACATGATTGTCACCTGATGACCACAACTTACGACCATTTTCATCACATTGCGAAATTATGACGAGAAAACGGCAATTTTCATTAAAAAAAAGAAAACGTGAGATCATTGGAAACTTCCAACGACTTGTCAGTATCGAGATTATTCTGTCCCGTAGATTTTGTAACGCTCATAAATTTGTAATGTGAGGAAAATAGTTGGTTCCTTTAGTTATGATATTATTACATTCTACAAGACTCGATTCGATATTTAACTGGACAGGATCACGAAAAGATCTGCAGCGAGCCAGTGTCAGCCATCAGTTCACGACCAGTAACTCCTTACGAGCCGATAATTGAACCAGAGCTGGATCAGAATAAATTCCTAGATTACTTCAAACTATCAGGATCAACAGCACCCAAGTCAACGACATCCCGTGATTTCCCAGCACCAACGATTCACTGCGAGCCATTGAGAGCCACAAGACGACTCAGAACAGCTGTTAATCTCACGAGATGTCCAACAATTCCGCTGTCATCACCAGCTGGCCTCATAATGCTCAAAAAGTCCAAGACTATGACTGAGAGCATCCAGCAGGAGCGACTCGACAGGATAGAGAGACACCTCAATGCACCACCTCTCAATAAATTCAGCAGACCAAAGTGGCTTGATCGACATGTCGAGTACAATCGTTGGATGATCAGCTACAAACCTAGCAAGGAGAAATCAGCACAGACTGATTACGCTCACAAGTACACCTTCGGGGCATTCAAACGGAAACCTGGTCAGTACCTTCAGTTGTTACAATTGATATTTTTGGAAACAAAGCATCTTTAGTAGTTCTACTACTAGTCCTTTCAAATTAGGAGAAACTAGGGTAAAATGGCCACCTGATAGATTCGAATATGGGGGGAGAGGTAATTGCAAGAAATTGTAATTTCGTAATGCAAATTTTCTCAAACAGCTTCAGAAACAAATGGACACTCAATAAATTAGTAGAGGCGTTGCACCGAAAAGATGAACACTCAGAAAATATAAATTCATTGAATTTTCCTTCAGAAATTCAAATTGTTAAAAAATCAAATATTGCGTTTTGTTGGCTGAAGTTCGGGTTTGAAATAATCAACGCAATTCCAAAATTCGGTTCTTCGAAAAAACTGTGGAATGTCTTTGGAGGAGCACTACAGTTATCGGAAGAATAAAACATGCATCAAAGTAGTAAAAGAAGATGAAGGCACATAAAAAATTCTTAAATCGGCGAATTCTATTGATAAATCAATTGGCAAGTGGCAAATAAATTTTTAGGAATCCAGATAAATTTCAAGTTATTTTGACTATTCGTCTTAGCTCCTAGATTTCAATCTCCCCTAAAAGACAAGTGTTCATAAATAAAACACTGAAAAAAAAAACCACTGGAAATTCGTGGAGCAACTTGGATGAAGTCTAATCGATTTCAAGGCGTGTTTCAAATTTACACTCAAGCGAACCCCTCGTAACTTGGGAAATAGTTCGATTCCCCCTATCGCCTATATTTGTTGGAATGAACCACCACCGAATGCCTTGGAGAGCCCTTTGAAGAAATTTTCAAAGCACCAGAAGAAAGGGTGGTAATGGGGGAGAATACCGAAAGATCTCAACATTTTGGAACCATTTTCTCGCACTAGTCATTTATTAAGTCGTTCCATTAACGCATTAGTAAGGCACTCAGGCCCGATGAAGATGAGATGTTATAATAATTAAAGAGAGTATAATGAATAATAACGAGAGTAAATAATAATCCCTCAGTTTCACTAGTTTGCCAATTTGAAAAGAGAAGAAATCTGGAAAAGTTTCAATGAATCAATTAAAATAAATGATGGACGAACCAAAACAAACCGATTAGCAACTTTCAGTCTGAGTCCGAACCTAGCAATTACTCGTCCAAACTTTATCTTTTCTCCAAACTTTTTCTCCAAAATTAAGGAAAAAAATACGAACTCACAAAACCCCTTCTAACTTGAATAATTAATTCCCTAATATTGCAGCCCTCAGTCTCAAGTCTCAACTGCTCTACATAGCGTGCGGTAGCTGTCACGTGAAGCTAGAGCGACTGAGCCCCGAAAAATTGGAGGACCTGAAGAGCCATCCATGGAAGTATCGTCCACCAGCCCCAAGACGACCACCACGACCACGACCAGGTCCACTCTCAAAGATGAATCCAGGTCTCGCCCTGAAACGCAAACTCGCCGCCGAATCACCGCGACACCCACACCCAAAACGCATGTCAACACTCCTCCGAGCACTTGACAAGCAACCAAAACCCACTCTCCTTCACAATCCAGTCCACCGTCGTTCAGATACCGAAAAAATAATAACACTCGTCAATCTGTGCTCATCCGACGAGGAGGACGACACGTGGAATATCACCAGATTAAACAGCGATGAAAATCGCGATCCCATGTCCTCCAGTGAGAATCCATCAATAAATTATTTCAAGACAATATCCCTGAGCCCGAGCAATCCCCGTACACGATCGCTCGGTTATCAGGGTACATCGGTCAACGATTGGCTGAGAAGAGAATCCCTGACTAAAGACGAAAGAAATTCCAAATTTCTTGGACACGTCATAGACACCCCCAAGACATATGCATCACTTCTAAAACAAACACCATAAAAAGCAATTGTAAAAATCCCCAAGGCTGTGCTGACTGCAGTCTTCGACAACTCGAGATTGGCAGAGTGAAAAAAGGCCCGAATGCTTTTGACAGATCAATAAATCATAGAATGAAAAGATTGAGAGAAAAAAAAGAGAGATAACTTGACTCGCCCAAGTCCCCGCATCGTGTCTATTTTTTTGGGCCGCAGCGCGTTAATTCATTGAGTTTAGATGATTTTATATGACGTTACTGTTGTGTTAATGACACTTTGAGCATCGAGAATGCCAAACTCACGTTTTTTTTTTTCTCTCCTGAAATTATTCCTTGTGGGTCAACAATTCTCACGATCCCCTGGCATTTCAAGGGTCGGACAATATAGACTGTTTTTTCTCATTTATTTCTTTCGTATGGAAGTCATTACGTTCTTCCCTATATCACTTGTTTTTTTATTAAATATATATATTGTATTTTTCCCATCGAAAGAGAACTGCGAACGTAATACTGCAGTATGCAAATGAAAAATCATCAGAGCGTACAGTTTATTGTAAGAGAAATGATGTCATGAAGTTAATGTGGATTTCAATGTAAATCCCGATATCAACTTGTGGTCGCTGTATACTTTATGAAAAAAAGAATGTACATATAAATAATCCTCATTTGAAATAAATTTTGTCTAGATTTTTCATTTTACATGGATTCATTCGGATGCAGTGGGTATTTCTGTTTCAGATTTTTTAAAGAAGACCAATTTTTTTTTTCTTTATATTTTTGGGGAGGTTCAACCTAATGCGCCGTCTGTTGACGAAATTTTCAACTCTTTAGCCGTCGATTGGTACTACAGATCCTGATTATTTGTTTATTTATCTTTAGGGCAATTAGCGGTTGTAATCACATCTCATGGATTATTTGTAAAATTGTCATACTATAATGCCAGAATATTTGTTGTGGGGTATTTTCAATATTTTTTTTACAACTTGCGGATGTATTTCGCACTACTGCCAACTCAACCTGACGACCCTGACCTACGTATTCCATGGTGGCAGCACATACTTCAAAAACACTCGAGACAATTTTTTAAACGATTGAATTTCGTTAGAAGACATTAATATAACACTCTGTAATTTATTTGTAACCTTGAACGATGTAATTATGTGATATATTTTGTACTGAAATAAAGATATCTGAATCAAAAATCGACTTTTTTTTATGTTTAAATATTGGTAGAGTGAAATTGAAAAGTCTGACGCCATTTTCTTATAATTTCCTAGTCTTCAAAATGAAATTTTTTTTATTTCATCTCCATTGCCTAATTCCCAAAGATTCCTAAAAATTCAATATTTTCTTGAAAAATAAAAATACCTCCAATAAGGCCTAAATTACTTCATAATAATTAAAAGTTTATTTATTATTTTTCTTCATCCTCATTTAATTTTTCAATGATTTCCTCACTTCAAGAGAAAATTAGATAATTGATCCCCTGAATAGAGAATCGTGGGATAAATTCCCTGAGAATAAAAAAAAAAGTTGGAGAGTAGTGAAAAATGAAAAATTCAAATATTGGCGGGCTTGGAGAAACCCAGCCCAACCGACCTCCCCCAGCATCCGCTTCCGTTATCGACCCCCTAAAATTCCGCCATCACCAACAACTCTCCCTCAACTCATCGTGTGTTCGATGCCATGAACGTAAGCGGGAGAGAGAGAGGTGGTGCGGTGTTGCGTGACTGCGAGATCTGCTTGAGTTTCCGAGCGTGTGTGTTTGTTGTGTTGTACGATTAAAAGAGAGAAAAAAGAAATTTATAAATAACGACCATAAACAAAAAACCAAAACATCGCCCCCATCCCCAAGCGCGCCCCCAAAAAATCCCAATCCCAAAAGCCGAGAATAATAACAATAAAAAGGAGAAGAAAAAAAAAAGAAGTCGCCCCCCCCTCTCCCAATTTTTTTTTTCATGTTTCAAGTACCAAAATTTGTGGAATATACAATCGCAGTAAATGAAATTCACATCGTTACCCTATCAAACATCAAAATTACGTGTACGTGTCAACGACTAAACATTGAGACATAAATTTTTTTATATATGAAATGCATATATAAATAACCAACTTGTGAGAGAGATAGCGTTAATCCATTGAGTGAGTGAAACGAGTATTTGTGTGTTGGGGGGGGGGACAAGATTGTCCAGTTAAAATCCCAACCCGACAACTGGCAAATTGTGGTTATTTATAACGGTGGCTGATAAATAAATAATAATATTTGGATAAAGTGGTACTGTGACAGACAGAAATATGTCATCGTACATTCAGGTTGCTGAGGACGAGGGTGAGGAGCCCATAGAATTACCAACTGAGGACGACAGTACCCTACTGTTGACTACATTGGCTGCCCAATTTCCCGGTACCTGTGGACTCAAATATCGCAATCCCGAGTCTAGAAGTATGAGGGGAGTAAGACTTGTCGATGGAAGACTTCATCCGCCCGAGAGTGGCTGGGGAAAAGCCGTCTATTTCTGCGTTTTTCCAAAAGGTAGAGACTAGTCATCGAGCAGAGAGAGGGGGTGGCACAACCATCATCACCATCATCATCATCATGATGGAGATGAGGCCTTCGAGTATCATTTAATTTGGTTATTTTGTTGTGAATGTTTGCCTTTCATCTCAGTCGAGATGACATGCACATGACAGAATATTTTATTTATTGTTTTCCATCACCAGTGATTTATACCCCAATCTCACTGGCATATGTTTTTGAAATTTTTGGTTCTGTTTGTTAACAAATTCTGAGAGATGAAATGACGGATTTTTTTTTTTGAGGTTTAATCGTTTGTTTGGTGGTGATATGCTGGGTTGGCAGCAGGGATTATTGTTGGGATCCAATGAATTTATTTATTTTGTTATTTTGGATTTTGGGGAACATGTGGGGTTTTTATCTCGGGGGGTGGCGTGGAAATTGAGTATTTTTTTTTCATTGAGGAATTCGTTTTAATGGCAGATATTTTGGCAATGGCTGTAGGAATTTTTTGGTTTTTTGGTTCTGATTCGTGAGGGATTTTTTGGGGTTGAATCGTTTGTTTGGGAGATATCCTAGTTAGGGGTGGGGGTGGATTGTTGTTTGGAATAGAACGCATGCGCGGGGAGGTGTTTTGGAAGGATTTTTGAGACTGAGGGTCTCATTTTGTGGGTAAAATTGGATTATTTTTAATTATTGGACTGTTCAATTAGTTTTTCTGTTAAATACTCATTTTTCTACTGATTTTCAGAAAATAAACGCAAGTCAGATGACAATCTGGAGAATTCCACAGCCAAGACTAAGAGAATGGAGACAAAGCTACGATGCACTGATTTAATTGTCCTTGGATTACCCTGGAAAACAACCGAGCAAAATCTGCGGGAGTATTTCGAGACTTTTGGGGAGGTTCTCATGGCCCAGGTAATCCCTTCTCTCTAATAACAATTCCAAAGTAACAGGAGTTGGTGGAACAACGATTGAACTAAATAGAAATCGTCAATTGAGCTCCAGCCCTCATAGATTAATGAACAACTCTCAGAAAAAATAAAATTTGGAGTAGAATTAAAAACTTTTCCTCATTTTCAAATTATCTCAAAATTTGGCTGATTAAATTACCAAGAAAAAGGGTCTCTCTATATTTTCGTCTAAAACCAAAAGTTTTCTTTGATAAATGGATATCAGATGCAAAACTCAAATAAAAAATATGATTTATTGCACTGTCCTCTGATGAAGAAAGAGGGAACAGCGTCTCACAAATTCTAGACCGAAAAATTGAGGAATGAATTTTATCCTTTGACTAGGTCAAGAAGGACGCGAAATCTGGCCAGAGTAAAGGCTTTGGCTTCATAAGATTTGGCAGTTACGAGTCCCAACTGAGGTGTCTTGCCCAACGACACATGATCGATGGAAGATGGTGTGACGTCAAGGTTCCCAACAGCAAGGTAAGCAACCAAAGATCATTTCAACTTAATAGCTTGAGAGAATATTGAATCGTCTCCCTATTCTGGGATTATCATTCAACAGAGCTGAAAAGATTTGAGAGATACCGCGTGTTAACCATAAATATGTACGAGATTCAGATCGTTATTTTCATGACTCATCTCAAACGCAAAATTACATAAAAATTCTTAATAAATGCCCCTCAAATGTTCATTAATTATTAATGAATTCATACTCAAAAGGTCCTGCCTCACCTCCACGTTAATTATTACTCAATATTTCTTACTCCAACATTTTTTAATAATTAACTAATCTCACTAAAACTGTATCGGTAATAGAGTAAAAATTTTGAAAAATATTTCTGAATATGTTTTGCTGCTGAAGTAAATTGTTTCATCAGAATATCCCAGAATAATTTGTGTTTCGTTAAAAAAAAAAACAAAAAATTTTCTTTAATATCAGTTTCTTATAGAATATTCGATGCAGTTTTTTGAAAAAATCGTAGAGAGATATTTGAAATAAAAATGGAAAGTAAGAGTGGAAAGATGAAATAAAGTAGAGTAAATAACGAGTCATGAAGAAACCGATCATCTCCGTGTGTGGATTTACCGAATTATACAATGGAAGAAGAATAAATAACGAGTGAGAACGTTTTTTATGGTATAAATAGATGAATGCGACTGGCGACAATGTAAAGAGCGAGCGTATATGGTTCAATGTTTGTATGATATCTGAATGTATGGAGTGATGCGAGTGATTCAGAGTAAAAATCGTATGTTTCTCTTTCCTCATGTGAATGAACTGACATTTTTTTTTCTCTCTTTTGTTTTCGCGATTAATAATCGAAAATGTATGAAGTTTCAATCGTGATGTAAAATCATAGGGATGGATGGTTTTTATCGGGAGTTGAGTCTCTTTGCGTCGTTGATTTATTCATTGACCGTTAATTAATGAATTTTCTGATAGTGTGATTTCCCTCTGACAGAGCTGGGAACTATTCGGACTTATTCTGGCAATTTTTCGAAAAATACTTGATTCAGTATCGAAATTATACGAATGCAATTCAACATTTTTCCGAATTTTCGAATTATCTCGAAAATAATAAATTTGCGGTGAATACCGTAGAGGACTTTTTTGTAACTCAATAAATTTCCGAAAAAAAAGATTTCTTGATACTTTTTTCTAAAACCAATAATTACTTTAATAAATCGATTTTTGATTGGTAACTCAGATGTCAAATTGAATTCCTCTTGTGTTACCACTTTGTTGCTGAATTAATGAGTAATAAAATAATAATTACTGGGTATAATTTTTGACAGATGAATAGCAACTATTTATTTGGCTTTTCGAATAAAATGGAATTTTGAAGTTGTGAATTAATCGAGAGATTTAGTTGTGCAAAAATCGTAAAAGGGTTTATTGTTGATTGACGTATTTGAACGAGAGTATTGACGTATCATTGAATATTCAAACCAGCTCTGCCTTTTCAACCTCTATTTCCCGATCTATAACGAAAGTTCAATTATGTAATGACGTGTGGCTGCGTGGGAGAAAATAAATTCATGTACTCGCGTTAATTCATCCTTTGTTGTACGGTTTTCGTTTCAATTCCGGGGTGTGCTGTGTGGAGTACGATGGAGTGAGACCGGAGAGAATATTACTTCGATCGGTTGAATGAACAGTGAGTAGGTGGATCGACCCACCATTGATTGAATTTTCTTCAGTTCATTTGGCAAAGTGGAAGGGAGAGAATTGTTGAGTCTCTCATGAGTATCTTGAAATCAAACCGGAATAACTGAATTATCATCGGTTGAAAATTTCCACCAACAATTTCGATATTTCGAGTCGATTTCAAGATATTCAAGATAAACTCGAAACAATTTTAAAGTGGAAAATACATTTTTCTCTTATTTCATCTTCTTTAATTGGAAATTATTTAGGAAATTCAACTGCACTTTTTTTTCTCCAGAAAAATTTCTTTGAGTTTACTTCGCTATTTCATCAAAAATTCGAGTGTCAAAAAAAAAGAAAATTCATTTAATTTCTCATTTTCTTTCTAATTTCCCTTAAAATCATAATTTTTCGTCAATAGCAATGAATTACCCGATTTTTAAATTCTCTTCAATCAATTCTATTGAGAACTGATAAACTGAAATAATTGCAATTTTTCAAGGCCAATAATTAGCGAATATCTCGGAATTGAAGAAAGATAGCGATATTTTGGGTTGTATATTTTCTGTAGATAAATCCGAGTGCTACAAAAAAAGTCATTACGAAAATATCAATATTTTCATTCAATCTCGAAATATTCGGGAGAAACTCAAAAAAAAGTACGTTATTAAAAAAAAAATGAAAAACTGAAAAAATGAAAAAATCGAATAATCAAAAAATAATAATCAGGGACTATTGAAAATTTTCCACTTGTTGTCCCCAAATTGAGTCCCCCCAAAAAACCCCCCGAATGTCCGTTTGTACGACTGCCTAGTATAGGAATGCCTGAATTTATCCCTCCCCCCCAACCCCCAGCCCACCCCCGCAAAATCACCAATTGTTCGAGAGAATGGATGTGTCTGGTTCCAGAACATTGACGGGATAATGATGGCACGTCAGTATGATACCGGTAAGCACAGCGAGTGTTATCGTCCAATACCAGTGCATACCCCAGGTAGTCGTCGTTTATCAGTGGCAAAGCCCTACATGACAACAACCGCGGAGAGTACATCATCACCGCGCTACGACCAAGATTACGATTACAAAACAACCCATTACCCGTCCTACCCCCCGAACTACCCATACGACGAGACAAACAAGTACAATCAGCAGACTGTCCAGCAACAACAGCAACAGCAGCAGCAGCAACAACAGCAGCAACAGCAGCAACAGCAGCAGCAGCCACTGGCCCAGAGTTACGGTTACGACAAGCCACAGTATCCAGTCTACGACGACAATAATTACGAATCCCGAGGTTACATGGCGTCCCACCAAACAGCGCCAACATCAGCCCCAGGAGTTAATTATCAGGAGGCAGATTATCAGCGTTACAATTACGATAGTAATCGTCCTTATTTGGGATCGGATGGTAGTGAATATGACAAGGGGAGGTATGGGTATCAGTACGAGAGAAGTTACTACGACGCCGAGGGCCGTTACATCGATGGTAGACACGATCCAAGGTACACCGATACCCGTCACCAGGACGTCAGGGACAATCGCGATGATAATCGTTACGACAACAGGGATGACAGGCGTTATCAAGAGGGTAGAGAGGATGAAGTGAGGTACGAGGGACGTGACGAGCGTTACCTGGAGCGCACGGATGGACGATACGACAACAGATATCCCAAAGAGAATTACTACGATCGCTATTACAAGCACCGACCCGCGAGAGATCCTGCTGAGACAGCGAGATATTGATAAAGGGGTTGTCTCCTAGTTATTTAGGGGAGATTTAAAATTTTCATGGAATATTCACCACTCAAGTTATTGGCAATGCCGAAATTCAACGTTTCCATCAATTATCCATTTATCTTGAAGGCTATTGAATTGAAGAGAAAATAAAAGAGAACAGTTTTTGTAGCTCATTAAATTCTCGATGAATAAGGTCTGTTCAGATTTTTTGGTGGAGTCAATGGTTTTTGAGCTGGATGGGTTTTTAGGGGAATGGAAATTTGAGTTGTCGCGGTTTACCTTTGCCTGGTAAATATAGTTTTAGTTTAAGTTTTTTTTTTTCTTTTTGAATGAAAACTCGGAACCGAGGGGAGTTGGCAGTTATTTTGATGAGAACTTTTTGATTGAAAATTTCGTCGGCTACAATAAAGGTTCAGACCATATTCTCGCCATTTCCTTTGGGTTCGGAGATATTTAGAAAAGTTTCATCAGTTGTTTTCTTTTAGTTAGGAAGTCCTACTGAAAATTGAGATAATTGTGGACGTTTGCTCTTTACTATCCATCAGCATCGCCAATAACTAGTGTTTTACGATGTTAATTGTAAGTGAAATGATTACATATAATTAGGAATGGATAGTTATAGAATGATTTTAATTATTGGGTATAGCTTCCTTGTACCATAGATTGATTATCATTTTGAGTGGAATATTCACGAGGTAACACTTCATTTATTGTTGATTCTGAGATAATTGTAAGAATTTATAGATAGATAATACATAACTGTATAATAGAAAGAACGATGAACATTGTTTACTACTTGAGGGTTTCCAACCGAATTAGGACCAATTGTGTTGTATCTATTGTATATATTTTACATATTTGAAGGATTGAGTTTGATATGATGAAAATATGGGCATATTTGGAAAGGTAATTTTGATACTTGTTGGGAGGACGTCAAAACCTCATCGCAAGTAGTTTTTCTAATTTTTTACAATTCGAAGATGAACATCTAAAAAATATTCCCATCGTCCAGCACTAGTTGCCTGCAAATTCCACCAAAAGAAAAATTGTATTCCATCCACTGAATCGAAATAACACCCAAATATTTCGTATCCAAAGAAAACCATTAATCCATTACTCCAATTGAGATAAACCCCCAATTCCTCAGAACCTATCACTCACATTCACCACTAACCCACCATTTTGTGGAGGCCGCCATTTCGTGTAAATATGCGCGAGCACCCAGCGATTTCCAAACCTTTATCACCCTCATCATCCCAAA